GAGTTTTTGTTTATGTTAAATTTTATACTCATTTGTTATGATACTTCTTGAAGAGCCACCTCAATGTTTGAAATATCAGGTGTCATCCTTCAGAATTGATCAGTTGATGTTTAAACTTTCCTCAAATATCACATTTATGATGAAAGATCATTCTTATGTTGGTTCAAACTCCCCACCAATCTTTCAATGGGCTAAGTTAGACATCAGAAGAACTAAGACCAAGTTTCATACTTCGTAGATTTTAGGTTGCACTATTTTATTGCGAGCTCAAACAGTCCAGACCTAGTACACATGCAAAAGTGACAAATTGAATCTATCTAATCTTTATTTCGTCACTTTTGAAATAATTTTCATTATCTAATTGTCTAGTATATTTCATGACCTTGATCACTTTTTCTTATATATGTTATACTTTAATTTAAAATTTTGAATATTTATTTTTTATTTATTGGTCATTAATTTTGTTATTACAATTATAGTTCAATCTCTTTCAAGATTAATTACTTAGGTTTCTCATATGACTTCTTCCATTTCAATTTTCCTTTTCCCTTTTTGTTGTTATCAAAAGGGGGAGTAATTTTGTTTGGTATGTTAGTATTATTTTGGTGTTTAGTTTTGTTTTGTCTTTATGTTTATTGGTGTTGTTTTGTCTTTGTGTTTGTTGGTGTGTGTTGTTTTGCTTTTGTGCTTTGTCATTTATGAAAAATAAAAAAAAAACTTTGGTTTGTTCTTAAATGAATTCTCTTATATTCACATATTTATTCATTTAAGGGGAGTTAAGGAGAAATTTAGGGTATTCAATTTTATTCAAACAATAATTGTTTTGCCATCATCAAAAAGGGGGAGATTATTGAGATAGTTGCTACTTAGTTCTTGATTGTTGAATTCTTGCAACTTGTATGTTTTTTATGATTTCAAATATTATTGCTTTGATTATTATTTCTACTAATATATTTTTGAAGAATTGCTTTGCTGTTTATGTATACTAATATTTCAGGAAAATCATACTCCGGATTATTGAAAATTTCAAGTGAGATCAGTTTAGGGGTTATTATTATTGAAGTATATATTTTTCATTTTATTGAGTCTGAGAGAGTGTGATTGTAATTGAGTAACTGTGCACATACACACCAGGGGAGAGTTTAAAATCTATAATTTTTAAAATAATCGTACTTTACGAATTTCTTTTCGTACGGGATAATCTGAACATTTTTGTCCCTTCGAGCAATCAAACGAATAGATAACAAATTTTCTTTCTAAGTATATGGATCGTATTGTATAATATACCATTCATGCATACCTTTCAGAGTACGAATTGGATGGGTCCCTTTTTGTCCTGAAGTTTCGTCTAGACGAACTTGAAAATTTTCTAAATGGTTTGTACCGTATGATGTTGTCATCGTACGTATACAATCCAGGGTACAAATTGGATGGGGTCCCTTTTTGTCTCAACAAACTTGAAAATTTTTGTAACTGATCATACCGTACGATGTCAACATCGTATGTACGTCATATAGGGCATGAAATTGTGGGGTCCCTCTTCGTCCCGATGAAGATTAAAAATTCCTAACTGTTCCGACTGGACAATCATCATGTACGAAATGAGTTCGTAACAATTCACAACAGGTTCATACATAATAGTTTTTGAACTGTTCGTACGTACGAACATACGATCGTACTGTATAATAGTGTTCACTCAAAATTAAAAATTTTAGTTTTTGGACGGTTTTTCATGTCTTTGATATAAAAGGTTCACTAAAATTGTCGTAAAAAAGTATTGTCTTCATGATTTTTCAAGGGCAATTGAAAGAGAGAGTGTGAGAGAGTGTTTGAGAGAGATTTCTTGAAAGTGGAGTGTGAAGGGTTCACAAAGTTACTCAAAGATAAGGATCTCTTTGTGATTTTAGTTATCACTCTTCTTCTTGTCTTTCTAATTGCTCGTGAGAAGATCTTTGAAGAGGATCCGGAAGTCTGCCAACACTCAGAGGGTGTGAAAGGATGACGGTTCTCTGCCGACATGTGGAGAGTGTGAAAAGATGACGATTCTCTACCGACATTTGGAGAGTATGAACAGACGGTTGTTCTCTGCCGACACTTGGAGGGTGTGAAATGATGACGGTTCTCTGCTGCACCAAGGATTGGTGGAAGAGTGGTTTTGTAAAGTCTTCTCAGCCTTGATGTGGGGGCAAAAAGAAAGACATTTTGGTAATAGTGCAATACCTGAAGAGGGAGTCTTCAGGGAGTGGATGTAGGTCATGTTTGACCGAACCACTATAAATTCACGTGTCTTTTAATTTTTGCAAGTTATTTACTATAGTTGAAAAGTTTTATTTTGAAACTTAATTAACTTGCTACGAATTTTTGAAATCAGTTTTATATTTAAAAAAATCTAAGAGAAATTTTAAATTACCAATTCACCCCCCTCTTGGTTAGTCTTGGGACAATAGCTTAGGTTTAACAACTTATCCGAAATCAACACATTAATCTTTTTAGCCTTAACGACATTCTTTCTGACTCTCCGAAGGTAGTTCTTCTTACGATTCTTTCTAGGAAAGGTGGTGCTAAAACTTGACACATATGACCTCTCATCCATTGTGACTGGTTTCTTTTTCTTATCCTCTCGAGTACAGGGCACAATGAGCAAGGGGGAGACAAGGGCCTCCATTTCGGAGATAGGGCAGTTAGCTCCCAACCCTATATTAATCTTAACCAAGGGGACATCTACTTGTGTTCTAGCAAACATATCCATGATTCTTTTTCCATTTACTAACAACTTCAAGTTTTGAAACCTCATCCCAAACTGAATTAAACTACAATAGGTAACTCATTATACAGTTGTGTCTATATTAAGTGAGAAGATGAGTTTCCAAGCCATTTGAGTATGTTTGATTTCCTTGAATTAAGGAAAGGTAATTTTAATTAGTCAATTTTAAAATGGATTTAAACTATGAACTTTGATTGATTCTCTTCAAAATTTTAGAACTCAACATACTAAGTTTATGCCCAATACGAGGGTTTTTAAAATTCACATAAACATTTTGAGAATAATTCTTAACTCTTTCATTCCACCTATTGATTTGGGGTGAAATGTCAAAGCCTGGATTTACTAGAGATTGAAATTTTGAAATTAGAATCAATAGATCTTCTTTAAATTCTGAAACTCAGCATATTGATTATCATTCAAATATGCAGGTTTACAAAATTGACATGAAGATTCTAAGGTATGGCTTGACCCTTTCACTCCACCAATTGATTTGGGGGTGAAATGTCTAAGCATGAATCTGATAGGGATTTCAAATTTTGAAATTGAAATTGATTTGAGTGATTTTGAAAAGAATTTTGAATGTTTGGAAATTGACCGAATTTCCTCGAGTTTTTTACACTCAACATGAGAGTTTACAAAACTAGTGAGAAAATTCAAAGAAACTGGCTTGACTCTTTCATTTCACCGGTCAACTCGGGGGTGAAATGTCAAAGCCTAGATGATAAATATATAATATTTCAATATTGTTTGGTCACTCAATTAATTTTCCATAATTATTAACTATACTCTTAAGTATTTGATTTGACTCAATTGGATTAAGAACATATCACTTTTGGTGGAATTGTTATTATTATTATTTTTTGTTAATATGCTCATTTTGACTACAAATTTATTAAAATTAGAGTTTAAATAATACAACAACATCAAATTCTTATCCTACTACTTGGGGTTGGAGTTCATATTATCAGTGCTTTAAAAATCGGACCGGACCAGCCGGTTCGACCGGTTCAACCGTGAACCGGACACAAGGCCGGTCTGGTTCAGCCCTAAAACCACTTCTGCAAAGAACCGGACTGAACCGGTCAGAACCGGCCGGTTCAACCGTGAACCGGTGAACCGGTCCGGTTATTTTTGAACCGGCCAGTTCAAATCTCACAAATTTTAAGTATTTTTTTAAATAAATAAATTAATATATGTTAAAAACATTTAATTAAAGTTAAATACACTTTATATAATAAGCACTTTTGTACTCAAAGCATCATGACACATCTTCACATGACCTCCCCATGTGCTCCCTTGGTGCAAGGAATCTAAATATGCTATATAAACAATAGCAAGAAAGTGTTTCTAAGGGATGTGGGACTAAAGAAAAGAGATGAGGAGTGTATGAGTTCATAGCATATATAATGGATATAAAACCTATTTTTAAACAGATTTTTTAATTAATTATTTTTTATGTGAGTGATAATTATTTATTAGTTAATAATAAAAATTTATTTATTTATACATAATAAAAAATAATTTATCATTAATAATTTTATTTATTTATTAATGATTTTAGATATAAATTTATAAAATAACTTTTGTATACAATATATCATAAACATGTAAAATATATTTAATCATATAATATAAAATAAGAATAATTTATATTAAATTTATAAACTTATGTTAGAATTAAATTTATATTAAATATGTAACATAAATTAATAATAATATATATTAAATTATATGGTTATATATAAATTTTAAATTTAAAATTATATAAGATATTAATAATGTTTGAATTCAATTTATTTTTTAATAAAAAAGTTATATTATTATATGATTTTTATATCATCTAAATTGTATTTATTATGTCATCCGGTTCGACCCCGGTTCGGCCGGTCGAACCGTGAACCGCTCTCTCTACCGGTTCGTTGCCCGGTCCGGTTTTCACAACCTTGATGATAACATTATTTTATGTTAATTGTATTAAATTTAAATAATACTTATTATTTACGACGTCATCCGGTTCGACCCCGGTTAGATCGGTTGAACCGGTCGAACCATGAACCTCTCCTTGTTCCGGTTCGTTATCCGGTCCGGTTTTCAAAACATTACATATTATAATGAATTTAATTTTAAAATTTATAATATAAATAATGCATACAATAAATTTTTTTTTTTTTGAAATTTACCAGTTTTAATTTAATTTGAAGGTATATAAAAATGATAGCATTACTAAATCGAAAACCGCCCTAAATCTAGTATTTCCTTGGTCTTTCGCCCGCTTTCGAGAACCTCCTTGTTCTCTGGCAAGCCGAAGCAAAAAAGATCAAATAGTCGAATTCTCAAATTTCTTAGCGCGAGGGAGAACGAGAGGGCGAGCAGCCGGAAAAGCCGCAGAAAACAAAGTTTTCTTTTTTATCCTTATCTTCTGCAACTTCGATTTGATATGGAAAGCGGCAAAGCACTCACAGACATCCAGTCAGCGGCAGATGCGGTCTCCGCCGAGGAAGCCTCAGAGTCGCCGCTTCACGAGATTGAGAGCCTCTGCATGCGATGCGAGCAGAATGTAAGTATCAATTCCATCATTTGATGACGCTAACTCCTGGCTTTGTGCTGTAAGTCTTCCTTCGAAAAATATATATATATCTCTCTCTCTCTTTTTTTTTTCTTTGATTTGGTGCAGGGCATAACCAGAATTCTCCTGACTAGGATTCCTCATTTCAGAGAGGTTACTTTTCTCCTTCCCATCAGCTGACTCTTTTTTTGAATTGAACTTGTTACACATTGTTTTTATCATCCTGTGCAGTTAGTGCTAATGGCATTTGAGTGTCCACATTGCTACGAAAGGTATTAATATGAATTTTTCCTGCTGCTGCGACAGAAAATTCATTTGCTTTTCAAAATATAGTATCCGATCTAGCTAAATTTTCTGTAATTTGAATTTTATACTTCAAGTAACAATGAGGTCCAGTTTGCCGGCCAGCTTCAACCACGTGGGTGCTACTACCAATTGAAAGTTCCTTCTGGTGATCAACAGGTTTGTGTGTGCCTGTAGCATTTTTATGATCATAATCGCTCCCTTTACTTATTATATTTTGTTTATTTATCCATTTATTTTACACCTTCATTTATTTATTATTATGAGTTTACCACTGAGTGACCAGCATAATTAGATCTTTTTGTTATATGAAACTGATTTAATATATGTTTTTCTTCAGATGCTTAACCGCCAGGTTGTGAAATCCGATTCTGCTACCATTAAGGTATGATATGACTTTAAAGAGCACTTTGTTAATTACCTTTCTCAATCAAGAATTTGCATTTTTTAAAGTTGTTTTGAATCAAAAAGCATATTTTTCCATGGTCTTGAATGAGTTAACAAGTGACATTGGATCACTTTACAATTTTATTTATTATTATTCATTGGTTAATTTTGAGAGACTTCTTGATTTTTACTTTTGCACTAGCCATTTTCCAAAGAATAAAAAAGAGAGAAATTCGAAGGGAATATATAATTCTATTCTCATTTTTTTTCACTACAGTAGTATGTCTTCAAGTGATGCTTTTGGGAGATTTAGAAATGGGTATCATTAGTTTTTAGGCTTGGAGTTAAGACAATGCTATTGAAAGTCAGACATTGATGTTGTGCAATGGGCATTGGGCATCGATGCCAAGACAACATCAGCCCTCAATGTCGAGATGATGCAGTTGTCGATGTTGAACAAAGATATGTGTCAGGATGCGTAGGGGCATGATTGTGGGTGCAGAATAATTGGCATGTCCATCAATATCAAGGCAATATCAGACTTTAATGTTGATATGATTTTAAAATATTGATATTTTGATGGCATCTGATGGATGATATCGTGCATTTTGTGAAACCCTAATCGTTACTCGCTAGAGAGAACTAAAAATGGGAGTGTTTGGGGAATGAAATATTGAGCATGAGTGATTGATTTGGGGCTTTGGAGAAAAAATAAGAAATTTAGTTTTTATTTTTTAAAATACATAAAAATTTGAAGTATAATAAATTATATTTTAAAAAAATTATAAAAAATTTAAACTATTCGTGTCTAATTCATTTTAAGTATTTTCTTAATTGGACATTTCTTTGGTATGCACAACATGTTTCGGAGGCGTGTTATGTCTAATATGTGTTGGATACTGCATACCTCTTTCAGGAGAATTGTTGGGCATCATAAACTAAGAATTAGTAGAATTATATGTGAAAGTAGCAACATAAATCCAAAGTATATTTAATTTGTTAGTGGTAAATTTTTTTCATACAAAAAATATAAAAAGTTTAGGAATTACTAATATTTATTGGTCAAGGATGAAAAAATGTGCACTTACATCCACACACTCACAGGTACATGCAGGCAGACATATACTCAGAAGTCGCAAGCACATCCACATACATATAAATTAAACCTTTTTTATATTTTCGTGCTGTTACTTTTAGGTTAAATTATAGTCTACGTCTTTATAATGAAATAAATGACCATAATCTTTTATTATTTTTCTTCATATGCAGATTCCAGAGTTAGATTTTGAGATTCCACCAGAAGCTCAGCGTGGCACCCTTTCCACGGTAGATATATTTTTCTTTGTTAAATCTGCTTTATTATTCAACTTTTTGTTACTCTACTTGAATATGCATTATGATAATCAAGTACATTCATGAATATAATTCTGAATGAAGAAATAAGAAGCCATTAGCTACTGGATTCCTATATTACCACCTTTTGTAATAGTCATGGATGTGTTCATTTGTTATATTTTAGAAACACAGTTGTATTTTTGTTCGTTTGTTTGGCTTTAGTGTTTGATCAAGTCACTGAGCCAAATCTTCAGTGGAAGATGTTTAGAGGACATTGAGATCTTAAAGAATATGTGGATGCAATTTGTTATGTAGGCAACATTCAATAAACAAAAAAGCATTGAGTGGGCCACTTTAGTCTATATGCTGATACTCTTAGGTAAAATGAGCTGATTGCTCTTGATATGCTAATGTAAGAAGTGCGAAGTATTTTAATATGCAGCCCTAAGTAAAATGGAATGATGGTAGGAGGCTGGGTACTTCAAAAGAAATAATTGGATATTTTGATACGAGATCAAACTGTTAAATTAGTTATGTAGGTATATCACACAGAAGCTGGTAAGATAAATTAGGAAATGATGGAAGTATCAAAGACTGGTAATTCTTCTGATTTATATTTCTTATAATCATGCCATAGAAACTGAAAATTACATATATTGGCAGAACTATAATATCATCAATCAAGGGAAGGTAGAAGAGTTATTTATTGTAACAATTTTTGGAGACATCACTAAAAGTTCAAGTTAAATTAATAGAGCAGGGCTTTAGCTGAAAATTATATAGCAAAACGAAATTAGAATGTGGAAGATGTTCTTGAAGACACATTCAAAATAAGACTGCTGATGGAATCTCTTCATAGGAATTAATGGAGTGGTTCATCCCGAACTATTTTGGTAGTTTAGCATGATCAATGTTTGAGCATATGTTTTGTAGATAATAAATAGTGAGTAATTATATTTTGATTTGAATATTAGCACTCTTCTTTAATTCCTAACTAGTGTCAATTTTCCGACTATTTGGGGTTGGCTTTATGAGTCATCCTTCATTTATGCTTGTTGAGTACTAGGAGGTGTGAACTCTAATTTACATTTTTCTTACATAAATTTCCATTTATATTTTATCTACTTATTTTATTATTTTATATCTAATTGTATCTTACCATGTGATTAATGCATCTTCAATCCAATCACGCATGCCTAAACCACCTAAATTTATTGGGGTAAAGTTCAAAATAGTTTCCCAACTGTTTGGATCACTTTTACTAACCAACCTTAATTCTAGAAGTTTTTCTTCCTCAATATTAACCAATGTTTAAAATTGCATATTCGGGTATTGAGGCGTTTTTCATTCGTGAGGCGAGGCGTAAGCCTCAAGACGTTTTGAGGCGTAAGCCTCAAAATCAAAAGATTGCGTATACATAAAATGATAAATTTGTTATATACTAATGAGTGAATATTATAAAATATAAAAAGCATAAGATATGATGTGAAATCAAAATATCTCAATAATAAGACAACAAGAATTGTAGTTCAACTCAAAATTCTATCTTTCCAAAATCAAAATATTCTTTTCATTAACATATAATTCCGATTTCCAAAAATAAATAGCAATGACATATCACATAAGAACTTATAAGTCATCAGCACTATCATCACTAAGGGGTTCTTCATTTGAATCATCATTATGGTGAACTACTCTCTCCCCTTCCGCCTCCCCTATAGAGTCTAATGACAGGCATTTACTTCAAGATTTATGTAAGTTTTAATATATATATAGCGTGAGGCGAAGCGGGCCTCAACCAAGTTGAGGCGTAAGCCTTATAAAAAAAACTCGAGGCGTAAGCATCGAGACGTTTTTTATTGGAATTGCGCAAAGGCGGGCCTCAAGGCGAGCCTCATATTGCGCAATTTTAAACCATGATATTAACTTTATCTCAATCATTTGGGATTGGCTTATGAATCCTTTACCACTCATTCTTGTTTAATATTACAACTGCATTGTGAAATATGCCATTTAGAATTCTATATTGTATATAATTTTCTAAGGTTTCTGTGATGTTATTTTGGCATTGTGCCGAACATTAGAAGGCATAGTACAGAGGATATATTGCCACCTTAATGTATTTATTACTTAAATACCCTTTGAATACCTGTTGAACAAATCACTGCACTCTGTGGTCTAGAGAGTGAAAAATCACATGTCCTTCAAACACCGCACCCTATTGGTTGATTTGCAATGATAATATGGATGACAAGAGTAATTGCAACCTAACGCTGATATTTTTGTTAGTAGATTTGTGTTTGTATAGCAATTTGTGTAACATTAGCAATTGATAACATTCGTGAAACTAAGTTTATTTTCTATGGTTGCTATTTTCTTAGTATGTTGTTCAGTGCATGGCATATTCTTTTGCAGACTGAGACTTCTAATGCTTTGGATTGTACAATTTTTTTAATGAGCAAAATACATTTTATTCTAGGTGGAAGGAATACTTAAGCGGGCTGCCGATGAATTAGAGGGCCTTCAAGAAGAACGCAGGGTAAGCTCAAGAGTTTTATCAAGTTGGTTTGAATTTGGTTTGCACTTCTTCAACGAATTGCTTTTTTGTTTATATAGAAAGTGGATCCAGGAACCGCTGAAGCCATAGATAAATTCTTGATAAATTTAAGGTCTTTTGCTGAAGGAAGTGCTTCCTTTTCCTTCATTCTTGATGATCCAGCTGGAAATAGCTTCATTGAGAACCCGTAGGTTTTCCTTCATACTTTCAAATTTGTGTTGTATTTATCATCTCTGCTTTAATTTCTAGTATGGTTACAATTACCATTTAATTCTTTCAGCATCTATAAGGTAAGATTAAGAAGGCAACTTGTTTGAACTGTTACCAATGTTATGTTTTATCTAAATTGTAGTAGTCGTTCCTTTCAACATTGATTCAACTGGAATTCTACTCATATCCTCGAGATGTAGATTAAAGTAAGTGAAGAACTTCTGTCCTTAGTGTATGCAGATCATATGCTTTTGCAGTGTTTTGCAGGCTTTATAAACGGACAGTTCTGGCATTTTGGTGATGCAGCCAAGTCAAAATTTGGTGCTGTGGTTGTAATGCACTTAATATTGTCATAGCACCTTTAATAGTAATTATTTCAAGCTCTGTTAGCATGAAGATTTGTTTAATAATACTCTTGTCCTGGTAATTTGACTTAGGTTCAATACAGTGGCTTTACCATAGCAAATTTTGTTTTGAAAAAGTCATTCACGCTTATATTGGCAACTTTATTCGTCTCTAGGTTAGAAAAGAAATTGTCAAGGCTGCCTTACATAATCTCTATGTAAATGAACGTAATGGCAAATAGTGTGTGTTGGATAATCGATTAATGGCTATGATTTCTTGGGTTTTTCTCACATTTCTCATGCCATTGTCAATTTGCTTCATTTCACCAACTCATTTCATTACTGTGCTAAATACAGGTATGCTCCAATGCAAGATCCTTCATTATCTATCAAGTTTTATGAGAGGACACCGGAGCAACAAGCAACACTAGGTTTTCTTGCTGAGATGTCCGAGGAAATTGAGAGGAAGTGTGAGAGTAATTCTCCAACTGATGAAAAAAGGATTTCAGGGATTGGAGTACAAGAGTTTTCCCATGGTTCAGTTGGAGCTATTGCTAATCGCCATGCAATCGCTCAGGTTAATAGCGATCAAGATGCTGAAGCCTTATACAGATACTCGGCACCAGAAGAGGTAAACATCATGGGATATGCAGATTTTGCTTTCTTTTGTATTCTTCAATCATGTTTTGATTTGGCTTCTTTGCACAGGTTGAAACTTTGCCGTCAACTTGTGGAGCATGTGGAGCTCCATGTGTTATCCACTTCTATGCAACCAATATCCTTTCTGCTGATATGGCTAATTGTTTAACATTTTTATCATTGCAATATATGAGCCTGAAATTGATAAGCCATCAGTTTTTGCAATAGAGTTTTATTGCTCTTTGCAATTTTTAACAAAATTTGCATTTGAAATAATAACATCCAAGCCAAATGATGGACACAGTGTTGTGCAGGGTAGCCATCCCATCCAATTGGTGAAATACTGTTCCCCAATTACAAATACATGGTTATGTCCACATTTTAATGATAACTAATATAATTTGTAACTTAGTATCTTTTCCTTGACTGGTGCACTTTTCTAAATTATAATTTCTAAAGCATGCATGAAATGTGATGTAGGATATTGTAGTATCTTGGATTTTTAATGTTGATATAACCTGCGGTGCAAAAAAAAAAAGCAAAATTTTGTAGGAACAGAGTATTTATACAACACAACTATTGACTATTTTTGATATAGATAAAAAATTAATATTAATTTATTTTTTTAATGATCTATGTCGGTATATCCTTTGAGTAGAAATTATAATTTAGAATTAAAGATCAAGAAAGTCATAAACTTGACTATATTTCATGCAATTAACATTAAATCTAAGTTGCAGCTGATTTGACTAATCAACTAGTCAATTTCAAGCACTAACAAGTAACAAAAGATAGAAGAGAAGAAAGATGAGAAGAAAAGATGGGTAAGAAACCATCAGCACAAGAAGTGTATACATGTATGTGAACATAATCACTCTCGAAATTCTTCAAATCTCACAAAAATCAAAATCTTAAAATTGATGGGTTGGAATGTCCACATTCATCTCAAGAAAATATTTCATGTCATGAACGATATTGCATAACTCAAATTTAAAATATCTATCAAAATCTCAGAAGTTTTTACTTGGGTGGATGGTGTAACTCTAATGATTTGCCTGTTTCAGGATCTCTTATATCAACCCCACTCGGTTCAGTAAACAAAGACATTTTTTGAACATCAAAACTCCATTATCATCTATGATTTTTTTTTTCTTTTAAAATTTTCTTGCACTTGATGTATAAGGATCTGCATCTTTCTAAATCCTTCTTTCTAAATCCCTCTTTCTAAATCTTTTAGTTGATTGAACAACTATTTGTTATATCTGTACAAAATTCTTATTCTTGGTCTTATTATTTCTAACTCCCATTCTTTTCATTTTGTCAAAAATTCTAGCGCTGTTGATTGTATTCAAGTCATTTTTTATCAACCTTGCTCTTCCTGATTACACTGAAATATTGGATTTTAAAGGAATCAAGGGTTGTCGGATTCAGTCCCTTAAAAAATGGTACTTCTCATTCGAAGTAGCCACTAATTGGTATGCATAGTGATCTCTGGTTATAAATTTTGCTTCAAACTGTATTTGACTTTTCACCTTATCTTACTATAATGAAGCTCTCATGCATTTGATGCCCGACTCACGGCAAACTAAACCAATCACAACGTCGTTCATCGTGAATTCTTCCGATGTAATCTGAGTATTATGTTTTCTTACATAACTCTTCTTGTTGTTGACCTTGTATCCATTTTCTACCTCTCCATTTAAAACCATGCACAATTAATGATAATTTCCTAAGCTTCAAGGCATATCATACCATAAAATTAAATAATTTTTTTATCATTGAAGGTTGTTGTTTGATATGATATGCTCTTATTTCATTATTGTTGTTGTTTTATTTCTAAACTATATCCGTTGATTTATTTTCTATTGGGCTTCTGAATCATTGGTACTTATTACATTGTTGCGCTTCAAGAATTTAGTTGTGGCATGGTGGGTTTGCAATTTGATTGCCGCTTGTGCTTATGCTATATAGCTTATCATGATAATTTTTCATCCATATTCTCAGATTTTTGTGCTTGCTTTCTGTGTGTGGTTTTGTACTTAAGGATGACGAAATGCCTTAGCTTTCCTTCATATGCTTGTGTTGCCATCTCTCCATCTTCATCCAATTCTCTTTTGTGGGTTTTTGATTTGACATGCTATGATGATGAAACAGTCCTAACTATGATCTTCTCCTTCCTCCCCACTCCCACCACCACGTGCCTTGATAAATGTTGCTTCCTCCTTGGGGGTGTTTTGTGACAATGTGGTTGTTTACTTCTAACGAGGCTACATATTACTACCAGTCATTTGTTGTCGTCTGCTGATTGTGCTCGATGGCTCTATGACTTTTTGGTTTCACTTTGGAGTTCTTGGAGATAAGTTATTTTGCTTCCCTTTGAAGGATTTCTTTTGGCTTTTAAATTTGTGATTATTATTATTGGATATGATTGATTTGTACATCTGGCATATTGCCTTATTTTTCGGTATCACATTGCTAAATAGTTTTTTTGTTACATTATTCTTATCATTTAGGAACTAAGCTAAGTTTAAGAAATATACCTTTTTTTTAGGAAAATTTCACAAACTGTACTGGAATGTTTTGGATTTCTCAAATTGCAATTTTTAATTGTAGAGTTTTACAAAATTTTCTTGAGCCATTACTCCTCAAATTGAACTTTATTTACCTTGACTATTCTTAGAAATTCCATATTTTCGGGAAGTAATTGTCATGGCAAGTTGTTGTGATTTATGTGGTTATCGCAGCTCTGAGGTTTGTTATAACACTATGGTTTTCTTCTGTTTTGGCACTACATGTTTATATACGCGCTTAATTCGCTGTGCAATTTTGTTTTCTTTTTTGCTCAGTTGAAGCCGGGTGGTGAAATTTCGAAAAAAGGAAAGAGGATAATAGTACGTGTGCAAACTTTAAAAGACCTCAGCAGAGATGTGATAAAGGTCAGTGTCTGCGCTTTTTTGGGATTTTATTACATTCATGAACAATTTTTAGGATGAATACTTTGGGAGCTTGAATAATTTTATGACTTGACCAAGTTTTGTTGAGCATTCAGCGAAGTAGCCATTGGTTCCGAAAATTAGGCCCCGGCCTCCCCCGTTTTCTTTTTCTTCGGGGTAGCGTTAACAGAATTAAGTTCCGGGGTAAATTTTGGGAAGTCATATGAGTTTGTAGATAAGACACTACCGAAAGATTTCACCGTCATTTTACGAGAACTTTATGATCTAAGTTCTGGTTTCCTATAGGCGCAAGCCCCTATAGTTAATTACCCCTCCCGATAACGAGAGAGAACTTTCGATTAAGGCTAGTCGTCGATCAGATACGTAGAAATACGCGTTATCTGGCATATAGTAGCAGCATGGGTTTAGAAATGTGGAAATTGGAAGGTTGGAAAATTTGATATTTAAAATTGAAAATTTCACCATCTTGTACTTAAAGCGGATGGTGGGGGAATGGATGATGGACCCGATCAAGATCCCATGGTTCCGTCATCTCAGACCATCGTGGTCCTTGATCTACTTAGTCAGAGGAGGTAGTCGACCCAACTTGACAGAAGGATCCTTGTCGGCAGCCATGGGTTGTTTCGTTCAAGGCATAGCTGTCAATGGCGCAAAATAGCGCGCGCCATGGCGCACGGCGCGGCGCGGCGCACCTACGGCGCCATATTCATGGCGAGGCGCATGTGTTTAAAATAGCGCGCGCTATTTGCGCCATATGTGAGCCATGATGCATTGCGCACAGCGCAAAATAGCGCGCCAAATTGTTTTTAAATTTCCGTATACTTATGAATATTTTTTATATTTAAAAATATATCTATATTTTAAGATAAACGACTATTCATTGCCCTAATTTCACGAAAGATTTTTTGTTTGCTGCATCCGCCGAACACATCCCGCAGTCCCTAAGTCGAGGTCGCTGAATCTATCCCGAAGTCGAAGGTTTTCTGTTTTCTATTTGCTGCATTCGCTACTTCCGCCGAATCCAGCCGAATCTGTCCCGAAGTTGAAGCTGACCAGGCAGGTCGAACCCCGCCAGGGGGAAGTGCCCCCTTGGACCCCCGGCAGCCCCCATATTATGTTTCTTGGACAATATTATGGTTTTTTTATTTAAATTTGTTTGCTTTTAAGTGATCATAAAATGTCAGATTCAGTTCAATCTTTAAAAAAAGATCCAGCATGAAATATGCTATACTAACAAATGAATCCGACAATAACAGTGTGACATGCATTTTTTGTGGTAAAATAACAAAAGGAGAAATTATACGCCACAAACAACACCTCGTTGGGGGTTTTAGGAATGCAAGGCCTTGCTCTAACTGTCCCGAGCACGTGAAGTTTGAAATTAAGGCATCCATGTTGAAAAAAAAAAGATTTAAATGAACAGTTTAATGACATATCAAATGTCAACCTTGCTGAAGAAGAAGGAGAAGACTTTGATGTGATGACAGATGATATTTTAGTTGTTAAACCATCCAAAATGTTGCAGACAAATAAATCTAACACATCTAGTCAAGGATCGACATCTACATTTATTTTCAAAACATCACGACCTAAAGGTCCATTAGATACTTTCCTTACACCAAATCCTGAAGATGTAGTAAAGCATAGAAAAGGTCAGTTTAACAAAGAAATGGATGCAGCTAAAAAAGAAATGAGGGGAAGGGCTGTTCAAGTGTTCAGTAGATGGATGTACGATGCTGGGATTCCATTTAATGCTGTGAACTATGATAGTTTCCCTGCTATGGTGGAGGCACTTGGGCAGTTTGGACCTGGAATGAAACCTCCTAGTTATCATGAGGTACGAGTTACTTGTTTGAAGAAAGAGGTTGGACATACACATGAGCTATTGCGACGACATCAAGAAGATTGTGTACGATATGATTGTTCTCTAATGGCAGATGGATGGACGTCAAGGAATGGGAAAAACTTAATCAATTTTCTTGTTAATTGTCCAAGAGGTAGTGCATTCATAGAATCAACTGATGCTAGTTCTTTCTCCAAAAATGCTGTGAAAATGTTTGAACTTTTTTGCAAGTATATCGAGGTTATTGGACCACTTAATGTGATCCAAGTAGTCACTGATAATGCATCCGAAAATGTTCTTGCAGGTTTGTCACAACTTTTCTTCTAAAGTTATGTTATTTCATGAAGAATTTGTGTACATCTTAACTTAAATTATAATGACATAACAGGAAAATTATTGATGGACAAATATCCTCACATTTATTGGACTCCTTGTGCTGCTCACTGTTTGGATTTATTAATGGAGGATATTTTCAAAATTCAAAAGCTAAGGCGATGCTTTGATAAAGCAGTGGCAGTACATAGTTTTATATATTCTAGGCCTCGCTTACTTGAGTTAATGAGAACGTGCACAAATCAAAGAGCACTTGTCAAACCCGCAAAGACTCGCTTTGCAATAGTTTTCTTAACTTTACAACGTTTTCATTAACAACAACTGAACTTGAAGAAAATATTTACTTGTGAGGAATTTATCTTGGGACCTTATACGAAAGAGGCTAAAGCAAAACAATCTCAACATACAATCTTACAGCAATCATTTTGGAACACTATAGTGTATGCCTTAAAAATAGCTGATCATTTATTAAAGGTTCTTAGATTGATTGATGGAGAAAAGAAGCCTCCAATGGCTTACATATATGAATCAATTGATAGAGCAAAAGAGGCAATTGCTGCAAGCTTCAATAACAGTGATAAGTATGATCAAATTTTTAAAATGATTGATAGAAGATGGGAAGTGCAATTACATCGGCCTCTACAGGCAGCGGGACATTTTTTAAATCCTGAATATTTCTTCAATAACCCTGATATTGCCAAGGATAAGGAAATAGCTGATGGTCTTTATCAATGTATTGGAAGATTATCTCAAGATGTAGCTGAAGAAGATAAAATCAGTAATGAATTAAGTTTATACATTAGAGGTGAAGGACTTTTTGGTATTCCTCCAGCTGTAAGACAAAGAACTACTAAATTTTCGGGTATTATTATTTACAAAAAAATTAAGACTGATTTGTTATATAATATTGAAAAAAAAATTATTTCTTCCAGCTGATTGGTGGTTGGCATATGGACAAGGAGCTCCTAATTTACAAAGCTTTGCTATCAAAGTCCTAAGTTTAACATGTAGTTCATCTGGATGCGAATGCAATTGGAGTATTTTTGAAAATGTTAGTATTTTACAATGTATGTGTTGATTTTTTTATATATGTTCATAATATAGTAATGTAATAATATTTTAATTGCAGCTTCATAGCAAACGAAGAAGCAAATTGGATCATGTTCGCTTAAAGGATTTAGTTTATGTGAAATATAATAGAGCACTGATTCGGAGATTCAATCATTGTGATGTCATTGATCCTTTTTCTTTGATTGAGATAGATGATCCAAATAAATGTCTAACAGGAAAATTAGATGATGAGTTCTGATGAAGAAAATGACTTTATTGCTGGAGAGGAAGATTTAATTTGGACAAGTGTTGCTAAAGCTACTGGTGTTTATGATAAAAGCTATAATATTCGAGAAATAATCTTCAATTAGGCATAATGTTGCTATTGAGAATGATGATGAGGAGGGTGATGAAGAGGATTATGAAATAGGAGACAATGTTGAACAAGATAATGAAGCTTTTTTAACATTTGCTGATGATGATGATTCCCAAGAAGAATAGATTAAACTCATATTTGATCTTTTAAAAAAAATTGTAATATTTGAATTATGAGATATTTGGATGTTACTTAGTCGAACTTATATATGTTATGGTTGTCTTTATTATTATGATAGCTTATCTTTCATTTTTAATAATATTTCATATTCATGCATATTATTTTATATTTTTTATATAGCTTGCGCAATGTTCAAAATAGCGCGCGCCGTGTCGTGCGCTATGCGCTTTGGCTCCAAATAGACCTTTGCGCCATGGTGCGCCATTCGCCGTTAACAGGTATGGTTCAAGGGAACTTTGTAGACCTGGGATGAATGTTTGTCTAAGGGGACAAATTTGAATCCACCTTAGCTAACAGAGGGCTTTGTGCCTTATCAATTATATCTTATTGATTCATATCTCAAGGATTTGATGTCACTAAGAAACGTATTGGCTCTGGTCATAACCGCTATCTTGTGGTGCCATTTGGCAGCAAAATCACTTAGTTCAGAGGGCCTCGAATCATAACTGTTTATCCTGCGGTGCCATTTATCGGCAAAACCACCGGTCAGAGGTTACATACCACGTTTTTGTTGGTAGGAGATTATTTGAGACTGAACCCTAGTGATATTTTGGATCGGACATTAGCTATTTGTGAGCTGAAATAAATTTCAATTTGTCCATTATAGCAAACTGTTGTGGAGGGTGGATGAGTTTTGCTTTAAGTGATTTGATGGATTGTTTCAAATATAGTATTTTACATACATTGTAAAATACTTACATGTTCAAAAATTTTTAATTGCAGTTTCATAACAAACGAAGAAGCAAATTGGATCATGGTCGCTTAAAGGATTTAGTTTATGTGAAATATAATAGAGCACTGATTCGGAGATTCAATTATCGTGATGTCATTGATCTTATTTCTTTGACTGAGATAGATGATGCAAATGAATGGCTAACAGGAAAATTAGATGATGAGTCTGATGAAGAAAATGACTTTATTGCTGGAGAGGAAGATTTAACTTGGACAAGTGTTGCTAAAACTACTGGTGTTTATGATAAAAGCTATAATATTCGGGAAAGATCTAAAGGGAAAGAGAAAGAATCTTCAATTAGGCGTGATGTTGCTATTAAGAATGATGATGAAGAGGGTAATGAAGATGATTATGAAGTAGGAGACAATGTTGAAGAAGATAATGAAGTTTTTTTAACATTTGCTGATGATGATGATTTCTAAGAAGAGTAGATTAAATTTATATTTGATCTTTTAAAAAAAGATTGT